TATTAAAAAATCATATTATATTCCAGATATAAAAGATCTTTTAAAGAATTAAATTCTGAAAGGTTGCAACAATTGATTTGGGGTATAGGTATCTGCATGCTCATTAATGATTGAAATTACGATACAGCAACCTGACTACAATTACCATTTAAAAATGTATTTTTTTTTATAAAAAAAAAAAAAAAACGCTGCACGATTGGGAGAGAAGGAAGAATGCTTATGAGGAATAGATATAAGAAAGGAAGAAAAGAATATCAGTTTTAAAAGAAAAAACAGTATTTTTAGGTTATATTAGAAGGTTGCAGGAGAATGGTAGAGGTATATATTAAAAATAAGAAAATTTTATAATCAAGATTGAAGAGCATGGGACACAAAAATGTCTATTAGATCCAAAATGAATATTGTTTGCGAAATATTGGAAAGATCTGCTTCTGCTTCAAATTCACTAAGATCAAGCACATTATTGTTCTATACAAAAAACCCAAGATATTCATAATTGGAGATGCAGGCTTCCTACATCCCATTTAAGATTATAGTACTTGATGAATTCTAGATTTTATAACATTTTATTAAGAGAATCAAATCTGGATGCATAAAATAAAAAAAACCAAATTATATAGTATAGATGATGTTATAAGGAAATGTGGAAAAAATAAAAACCTAAATTTAAATTGGAAAGGATCCGGTATATAGTAATATTGTAAATTTGCAACAGAGCATGATAATATTAAACGGAAAGAATCGACTACCTTGCTTTACACTAACCCTTTTTTTGATAACTATAGATTGAAAAATTTGACAAGGGTTTGAAATTAAATTGCTGTGATTAATAGGTCCGCATTTTTGATACAAATAATAATTGGTACTACATAAATTTAATAACGATTTTCCTATTTATTCACCAAAAATAAAAATAAATTTAAATTTAATTAAATAATTTTCTTCCTTATTCTTTTTACGTTCTTTTTTTTCCTTCATTTCATATATACCCTTTCCATACACATACACGCATACATTAACTCATCATAACACTCTTTGACGTTTATCTTTTTTTGAAAAATTTCTAGTCTTTCTTT